GGTATCAGAGCAATAATTTTCTTGGGTCCTAAATCTCTGAAGGTTGACAGTTTCCCCCCTACATATAGGGTTTTATCTTTTTCTTCTTGTAGCCGCCTCCCCTTAACTTTGCGATCTTGCAAAGTCACCCCTACAATTTTTTTCTCTAGATCATGCTGCCCAACTTCCTCGACTCTGATGATTGTTCAACTTCCTCGACCTCGACTCTTCTTCTTCTTCCGTTGACAACTCTCTCCTATTCTCCGGTCATCTTCCGATCAACGCCAACCATTATTCTCTTCTTCTCCACTGTCTTTTAAGTGAATTTTTTTTTTGCAGATTTGCTTGCTCTTCTTAGCAGCCACGATTTGCGTTTCCGAGACAATCATTTGTACTCTCCAGCCGTGCTTCAGTTGATTTCTTGTTTTGCCTTCTTAAAGCCTCTATTTTTTCTCATGGCAGATTCGTCACAGTCCACCACTTCAGCCATGACTACCACCACTTCCGGTGTCCTCTTCTCAGTCAACTTTGCTTCCTCAGTTGTTTAGCCAAAGATCTCCTTACCATCCTCCTCCCTCTCCATGGGTGGTTTCCCACCACCACACCAGCAAGTTCCTCTTACTTAGGTGCTCACTTCCATGACCAAATTATCTCACTCGTCGACACTTATTTCACCCCAACCACAACCTATGTTGTTGCCACCCTTGCCTACCACAGTCAACATTGGAAACCACTTTTCTTCTCTCATGGAACACGATACGTATCGCGTCTGGAAGTCCCAGTTTCTTGATGTCCTTGCTATCCACGACCTACAACATGTCATCGCTGGTGATACCCGTCCCCCCTGCACCCTTCCTCTCTGATGGCACTACAAACCCAACTCATTCCCATTGGTTACGGACCTACAGATTGGTTATGACATGGATCAAGTCTACCGTTTCGCCCTCTATTGTCCAAAATCTTTTACTACCATGCACCACTATTGCCAAAGCTTGGATCATACTTGACCATCACCTGAATCCTCTGTTTGGTGTTCATCTTCGTTCTACTCGTGATCGATTGCGCAATCTTCGAAAGGCCACTGACCAATCAATGACTGATTATCTTATTGATGCTAAATCTATGATTGATTCCCTTTCTACGATAGGTTTTCCAGTTTCAGAATCTGACTTTGTGGAATATATTGTTGATGGCCTCGGTCCAGAATATCAAGGGTTTATTACCGTTCTCCATCTTCAGCCTTTTACTACCTTTGATGAATTGTTTGATCTTCTAGTTCAGGAAGAGCGGCTTCAATAGAATAACCCAAGTTTGTCCACTCAAGTTGTGGCCATGGTTGCTAACCGCACTTCCTCACAGTCATCTAGGTCCTCTGGCTCTTCCTCCAATAGGTGCAACTACCATTCTCACAATCGCGGGCGAGGACGTGGTGCTCAAAATAATCAGTCATGCCAGTCCCCTCTACCTTCTTTCCAGCCTCCTATGTTGCCTACTCCAATGTTCTTCTGTAGGGTGCTTGTCAAAATTACGACAAACATGGGCATTCCGCTCGTGTTTATCCCCAACGTGGCAACTTTGCATATTCTGCAGAGACTGTTGCTACACCTTTTGCTGCTATGTCCGTGTGTGACCCCTCTGACTCCAATTGGGTTCTTGATTCTGGAGCCACACATCACATGACACACAATGCTACTACCTTGTCCTCTCCTCAACCTCATAATGATACATCTTCCGTTCTAGTTGGGAATGGTCAGTCATTACCTATTACTTATAAGGGTGATGTATGTTTGTCTGAGTCTCCTAATTCTAGAGTTATTTTGTTTGATGTTTTGTGTGTTCCATCTCTTCATAAGAATTTATTTTCTATTAATAAACTTACATCAGATATTGATTCTGTTTGCATTCTTCATTCGTCTAGCTTTGTTATCAAGGCAAAACGAACAAGTCATATTCTTCTCTTTGGTCACAGCAATAATGGGTTATACCAATTATCGTCTTTCGTTGTCATCACTCTTTCATATGTTTGTGTATCGTTAGATGTGTGGCATTGTCGTCTTGGACACCCTTCCCCTGCTATGCTCAAGATAGTGCTTGCCTCTGTGTCCAGTCCAATTTAGGATCTCTCTGTCGAGTGTCCAGTATGTCCTCTTGGTAAAGGATGTCGTCTTCCCTTTGGCAAATGGACATACACAACTAAATCTCCTCTCGAGCTCCTTCATCTTGATGTATGGGGCCCTGCTCCAATCGTGTCATTGTTTTCTTTTAAATACTACTTATCTATTGTTGACGATTATAGTCGGTATACTTAGTTTTTTCTTATGTTTAAAAAATCTGATGTCACTGAGATTTTTCGTAAATTTAAATTAATGGTTAAGAACTTACTTTCATGTTCTATTAAAATTGTGCGTTCTGATGGTGGTGGTGAATTTGATAATAAATTGTTTCGTTCCCTTCTTGAGTCTCATGGTATTACCCATCAACTGTCATATCCTTACACTCCTGCCTAAAATGGTGTCGTTGAGCGGAAACACTGTGACATAGTGGAAAAAAGACACTGCCTTTTATTACAATCTAACTTGCCACCATCCTTTTGGGTGGAGGCCTTTTCTATTGTTGTCTTTCTGATTAACAAGTTGCCTTCACCAATGCTCAAGCATCACAATCCTTTTGAGGTTCCTTTTCGGCGACTATAGCTTCATGTGGACTTTTGGCTATGCCTGTTATCCATTGCTCACTCCGACTGCTACTCACAAACTAGCCCCACGCCTTACTCTCTGTATTTTTCTGGGGTATGACTTGTCACATCGTGGGTACTGGTGCCTCTATATTCCTACTGGTTGTATATACATCTCTCAACATGTGGTGTTTCATAAGACAAAATTTCCTGGTTATGGCACCACAGTGCTTCAACTTTCCAATGCTCTTGGATCTAAACTTGCCTCTTCATCTACACTGGCCATGCCACCATCATCTACCACTACAGATCAATCTTTCGATTTAATTCCATCTGACTCCACTGGTCTTTCTCAGTCCCCATCAGCTATTACTCATTCTTCTTCCATCAGGGATTTCCAATCGTCCCTTGACGCCTATAGATTATGTGCCTCCCTGTTCCGTAACACCACCAGCATCAATCCGTCAGCGGTATCGTATTCTCTATGATATTATGGCCTCCTCACATCATCTGCTTCCGCATGCTCTTACTGCAGAGACATTGGATCCTATGCTGCATGAACCGACATCCTTCAAGTAAACACAATCTATCTCTTATTGGTGTTAGGCAATGTGTGAAGAATATAATGCCCTTCTACGGAATAATACTTAGGTTTTTGTTCCACCTAGTCCTCATCAGAATCTTGTTGGTTGTCGTTGGGTGTACAAATTTAAATGTCGAGCTAATGGGTCTATTGAACGATATAAGGCTCGTCTAGTTGCGAAGGGTTTTCATCAGCAGCCTGGTGTGGATTTTGGTGATACTTTTAGTCCCGTTGTTAAGTTTGTCACTATTTGCATAGTTCTTGCTCTTGCCACAATGCATGGTTGACCGCTTCATCAACTTGATGTTAAGAACGCATTTCTCCAAGGTTATCTCACTGAAGAAGTATTCATAGAGCAACCTCCCGATTTTATTGATTCATAGCGACCCTCTTATATTTGTCAACTTATTAAAGCTATCCATGGTCTTAAGTAGGCTCTTCGTGCATGGTACCATCGTCTACACTCCTGTTTGATTGATATTGGATTTACCAATAGTCGCTTTGACTCCTCTCTCTTCATCCACCGAACATCTAGTTCTATTGTGATTCTTCTTGTCTATATGGATGATCTGAATGTCACTGGTTTGGACCCCTCTACTGTCACAGATTGTGTCTTTTCGTTATGTTCTGCATTTGCTTACCGGGACTTGGGCTCTCATAGTCTCTTTCTTGGCATGGAAGTTGTTCGGGATAATACTGTTTTGTATTTGTCTCAACGACGTTATATGGTGGACTTACTTAGATGCTTCCAACTTGATTCTTGTGCTTTATGTGTTACACCCTTTAGCTCCTCCAAAGCATCACAGTCCTCAGATGATGATCCTTTTTCCTAATATGACCCTTTATCGTAGTATGGTTGGTGGTTTTCAATATCTCATACTCACTAGGCCGGACATTGCCTTTGCTGTAAATCAAGTTGCTCAAAGATGGTCTGCTCCCACTCATCGTGATATACGTTATATTAAGCGAATTTTCTAGTATCTTAAGGGCACAGTATTTCGTGGTCTCACTTTTCATCGCTTCCCTAGTCTTCATCTTCTTGCCTATTTTGATGTTGATTGGGCTGTTGATGTAGCTACTCGTCATTCTATCTCTGGTGGTTGTGTTTTTCTTGGTCGCAATCTGATATCTTGGACTGCTAAGAAGCAATCTGCTGTGTCTTGCTCCAGTGCTGAATTTGAGTATCGTGCTCTTGCCCTTGTTACTACTGATGTTCAATGGTTTTGTTATTTACTGCGTGAGCTTGACATTCCCTTATATTCTTCCCTATTGCTTCTTTGTGACAATCAATCCGCTCTACATATGGCAGCTAATTCTGTCTTTTATGCTCACACTCAGCATATTGATATCGACCTACATTTCATTCATGAGTTAGTTGCCCACGGGGCCCTTCGTCTTCGACATGTCCCCACTGCCTCTCAACTTGCAGATATATTCACCAAAGCCCTATCTCGTGAGCGATTTCAGTCACTTTGTCTTCAATTGTAGCTCCGAGATCTACCCCTTCAATTGCGGGAGAGTATTAAGGAATAAGATCATTTTGATTTTATTTGCCTATTATCACAATTATTATAATATTATCTTTCCTTATATTTTTTTATTAACTTTATTATTATGATGATTTCATTTTCTCATAGTTTTAATTAATTTCATTATTAGAATGATTGTATTTTCTTGTATAGAATATGTTGAACCGTCCACTTTTATTAATATTGAATATATAGTCATTTATACACTTCCTCACCCTCGACACCCTGATTCTCCTAGAATAAAATAATTCCTTTTTCACCTAGGGCGTCCCAGTTTATTCGCTTTTGTTTTTAATTTCCCAACAAAGTAACGGACGTTTGCTCCGTTTCTCAAACTTCTGGCACAAATCCAAAGAAAATTTCCATTTATCTAATGGTTATGGAGCTCTCAGCTCTTAATTTGTTGTCCAGGCCTTTGAGTTCATCATCCTTTTTATGAGCTCCGATTTCTGGAGTTTGAAGCAAGACAAAAGGCTCAGCTCAACACCAGTTTCACTTGCTCGTCTTCTTGTTCTCTCTTCCACTTTATGGAGAAGCCCATGACTGGAAAGTTGTGTAATCAGCAACTGGGGTGTGTGATTCTTCTCTCCTTTGTCTTATGTTTGGTCTTACTTTGCTTTGATTATTCAGCTTTAACTGGTAGCAATAATGGGGACACTTCCTTAGTCAACAATTATGTAAATCCCATAAGCACTCAATCTTCAAATTCCAGTGATCCTATTTCTCCACTGCCCCACAATCCACTTGTTTTTGTCTTCAATAAAACTGATTCAGATCCTTGTTTGGGTCGCTATATTTATGTGCATAATCTTCCCAGCCGCTTCAATGAAGCCTTCCTCCAGAATTGCCATTTGCTCACACCAGGTACCGAGAAAAATATGTGTCCATACTTGAGCAACCTCGGTCTTGGCCCTCGAATTCAGAATCATGAAATGGTTTTGTTAAATGATAGTTGGTATTTGACTAACCAGTTCTTGTTAGAGGTTATTTTTCACAATAAGATGAAGAATTACAAGTGTTTAACGAATGATTCTTCACTTGCATCAGCTATTTATGTGCCCTTTTATGCCGGACTTGATATCAGTAGATATCTGTTTGCCGGTGCTAGCACATCACTGAGAGACTCTTCTGCAATTGATTTACTCAAGTGGGTAAGAGAAGGAGAAGAGTGGAAAAAAATGTGGGGTAGAGATCATTTCTTTGTTGTGGGAAGGATTTCTTGGGATTTCAGGAGACAAACTGATAATGAATCTGATTGGGGTAGCAAGTTTAGGTTCTTGCCTGAATCTAATAACATGACAATGTTGTCGATTGAAGCGAGTTCTTGGAACAATGACTTTGCCTTACCATATCCAACATGCTTCCATCCTTCATCAGAAGGTGAAATTATTCAATGGCAAGACAAAATGCGAAGGCAAAAAAGGCGGTACTTGTTCTCGTTTGCTGGAGGTCCAAGGCCTGATCTTCAAGGTTCCATTAGGGGAAAGATTATAGACCAATGTCTAGCTTCAGGAAGTTTATGTAAATTGATAGATTGTAATTATGGTGCTACAAATTGCAACAACCCTGTTAACGTGATGAAGGTGTTTCAAAGCTCAGTGTTCTGTTTGCAGCCTCAAGGGGATTCATACACCAGGAGATCAATTTTTGATGCGATTTTGGCTGGTTGCATTCCAGTTTTTTTCCATCCGGGTACTGCTTATGCTCAATATTTATGGCATTTACCAAAGAATTATACAACATATTCTTTGTATTTGCCGGTGAGAGATGTTAAAGATTGGAAAATGATGATTAATGAGACATTGCTTGGAGTTCCAGAGGATAGAGTGTTAGCATTAAGAGAGAAGGTTGTAAAGCTGATTCCAAGAGTAATTTATGCAGATCCAAAGTCTAAATTAGAGAGTGTGGAAGATGCATTTGATTTAGCAGTTAAGGGAATTCTTGAGAGAACAGAGGGAGTTAGGAGGATTATTAGGGAGGGAAAGGATCCTGCTATTGGTTTTGCAGATGGAGATGATTTTAAGTACACATTTTCTGCGTATGAGGAACAAAGTTGAATGGTAAATTTCAAACTCAATGCTTTTAAACTTAGGATATTCACATCACATGTTCTTTCCAAATAGGAATATTGGGAAATATATAGTTGGCTTGTTCATGTAATCTTTAGAAGAATCAGCAATCTTTTTCAATGATTGTGCTTATATTATACAGTTGAGCTCATAGAATTTTCTTTTGTAATATTGAGTTTAATTATCTTCAATACTTGTTTATTTTGGGGGCTATTCATAGTAGTGTTATAATATTTGCGCTCTCTTCATAATGGGTTAAACTTTTTATTAAGGGAATTATTATGTTACTCCGGGTTTAATTTACTTTCACTTCGCCTAAGTTCAATAACAAAAAAAAAAAAAAAAAAAAAAAAAAAAAAAAAAAAAAGGAAATATCCTGATTTTGCCGACACTTGGAGCTAGGACCCATTACTTAGTGGTTGCATGTGATATGATGTCTCAGGCATGTGACATCGGATGAATAAAATGAGCGATGACATGTCAATATAGCCGTGATGGGCGTGATTGAAATTAAATGAACCGAAACCTCATGGCCTATTTGCTTTATTTCTCAAATTTTTGATGGTTTAAGGAGGATTAATTCCTTGCTTGTCTACGATCGGTCAGGTAATGCGGTTAATAGGAGATAAAATCCTATAAGTTAATTCTTTAATTTGTTTTTGAATGGTTCTATTGGCCCAACCTTTGGACTTAGAAATCAATTTTTAGTTTTTTTTCTTTTTTTTTTTATAATTAAATGTTAAATAGACTATTATCAGATAACACTTTTATCATGAAATTATAGTTATAGGACATTTTATTGGATAAAATAATGAGAAGACACTTCTTCACGGTTTAAAAGCGCTAACTTTAACTTAGAGGGTATTAATGTAATTTTATGTGTAATATAGTTTCCCATAAATAAATTTTTTTTTCAAACTACAATAATTTGAAAAAAAAAAAAAATAGAGCAATAAGAAAATGACATGTTTTCTTAAATTCTTTATTCTTTACCATATACTTCTAACATCCACTTCTATATTAAAAAACCTAATTTTTATATGCTTACATCATATTATTGCACAATGGAAATAATTTTCAAAACCAAAAGATAGTTGAACAGTGGTATGAATTTTTGTAATAAGATATATCAAGTTATAATTCACATAAAATTGTAAGCTTTTCTAATTACTTTTAAAAAATATTTTGTAATAAATTAAGGATGTTAAATATATACATATATATATATATATATTTTTTTTTTTTGGTTGTGGGGTGGGTGGGCGCCGAAGATTACGGGCTAGGTAATTACTCGGAAACTCGGCTAATAATCTGGGGGCCGGGGATTGATTCATTTCACAACCTAACCTGGTCCTTGGGCTAGACCCAAGGGAGTCCAAACCTTGGCCCCGTGCCCAAGATTACGGGGCAAGGTAATTACTCGGAAACTCGACTAATAAACCTATGGGCTGAGGATTGATTTCGGTGCTTGGGCTAGACCCAAGGGAGTCCAAGCTTTGGCCCTGTGTATATATATTACTTGTTTGTAATTTATTGTTTCTAAGCCCAATTTTATTTATAGTTTAACCCCACCCACAGAGGCACAGAGCCCAATACTTGCAGTTTTTAAACGAGTAAAGGTTGATGCCAGTCATATTCGTGCCATATATTAATCATGTCGTGTTTGGGCTGAGGGTTCTCACCCTACCAACTCAATTAGGGAAACAATTAATTAAACGAGATGTCTCAACCCACTAACACGTTTATAACACGATTAATCGTCTATGACACAATTACTCGTTTCTGATATAATTTGTTTATGACATAATTAATAAAATAAAAACTATAATTTTAATATAAAAAACAATACCTAAGCTGAAAATTGTAATTTGTTTATAGATTTTTAAATTTTGGACATTGAACTTAAGTTTATTACGTTTATTGTGTTTATAATAATTTTGTACTTATGTGTTTGTCAATTGTTGTTACAATTTAGTTAAACTTTGAGCAAATTATTACAAGTTAAATTCATGTTAAATAGGACGGATTATGGGAAAAATTAATTAAAATATCATTTCAAGTTTGAAATGAATTGAATAATCATGAAATTTGAAATTCTTTATTAAATGAGAATTTGCTTTAAGTAATATAAACTTATCGTTTAAGCAATATAAACTTATACGTAATATGTTTATCTTTTAAATGATATGTGTTAAATTACTTAAGTGATAAAGTTTATAACTATTTAATTTATTCTAAATTTGAGATGATGTTTTAATAGTTATAAACATGTTAGATGAGTTTAAATGTGAGGGAAACGCCGGGAGCTCCTGGGTTATACTTTTTTATGCAAGTTAGGACACCTTTATTTATTATTATTATTATTTTTCAGTAGCAGAAACTAAGAGAAGTTGGTAAATTATGTTGGGTGACTGGGGAAAATTTACAAAAAGACTAAAACACCATTGTAAATAGGACAAAATTTAAAAGTTTGCAAGTAGTACTNCACATTAACAAAAAAAGGATTTTCAGATAAACAAATGGGAGAGTCCGTAGCAACTATATATCTTGCTATTTCCTCTCGTGTAATATGTGTATTGTATTGTCATGTTAAGAGAGTTGAAGATTGTGGATTAAAATTAAGTTGAGTTTGAATTTGTCTACCTGATCCGCTTGAAGATGCATTTATTTGGGGATGCTTCTTCTCTACGTGTTATTGCATCGTCGAAGTCCCCTTCTCAACGCCAATAATGGTTCCACATAAATTACATATCCCACATGATTCTTCCCCCTCCCCATTTGTCTTTGGCAGTTTTGATTTGGTGAAGTATCGCCAGACATCGGACACGACCCTCTTTGATGGTCGGGGGGTTGGGCTATGTCCGTGCCCGTTGACTCGCAACTCGCATGTATTTGGCTATACCTCGTCCCGATCGAATGTGGTTGTGGAATTGCAGCTGCTTCCTCTGAAGGAAATTGTGAAAATGGATTGAAGGCTTCAATTTCTTCGGTGGATGGAACGTAAAACTCATTTGGGGAAGACATTATAAATTTATGATAAAATAATAAATAATTAAAATGAAAAGAAATTAAATAATAATATGAAATTATGATGATATTGAAAAATAGAAAAAAATTTGAATAATATAAATAAATTATAAATATAAATTGAATGAGAAATTAATTGGAGATTTAGAGTAGAGAGATTGAGAGAATGAAAGAATGAGAGATTGATTGGTGTGAAAAAAATGAAAGGTTTTAAGGTTATTTATAGTGTAGTTGTGGGGGGGAAAATGAAAAAAAAAACTTATAATTATAACCGTTAGCTGCTCTGCTATGACCGTTGGCAGCCAACGGTTATAAAAGGTTAATTTTTTTTTTAAAATAAATTTTATAAAATTTCATTTTAACCCTTTAATTTATACTTATTTAAGGGGTTTAATGTGATTTTACAAGGGACTAAAAGGATAAAATACAAAAAAAAAAAATTTGGGCCCCGGCCCAAGCCTTGGACGAGGGCCCTCCTCCTTAGGCCTGGTCCCGTTTTGGGACTAGATCTCCTAGGACAGATCCTAAGACTGGATTTTGATGCTAGGCTTTGAGCCCGATCTCAAATGCCCAGCTCTAAATAAAACTATTCCTTTTTCACCTAGGGTGTCCCAGTTTATTCGCTTTTGTTTTTAATTTCCCAACAAAGTAACGGACGTTTGCTCCGTTTCTCAAACTTCTGGCACAAATCCAAACCAAAAAAATTTCCATTTATCTAATGGTTATGGAGCTCTCAGCTCTAATTTGTGCCATGCCTTGAGTTCATCATCCTTTTTATGAGCTCCGATTTCTGGAGTTTGAAGCAAGACAAAAGGCTCAGCTCAACACCAGTTTCATGCTCGTCTTCTTGTTCTCTCTTCCATATGGAGAAGCCCTAGACTGGAAAGTTGTGTAATCAGCAACTGGGGTGTGTGATTCTTCTCCCTTGTCTTAGTTTGGTCTTACTTTGCTTTGATATTCAGCTTTAACTGGGTAGCAATAATGGGGACACTTCCTTAGTCAACAATTATGAAATCCCATAAGCACTCAATCTTCAAATTCCAGTGATCCTATTTTCTCCACTGCCCCACAACCACTGTTTTTGTCTTCAATAAAAATGATTCAGATCCTTGTTTGGGTCGCTATATTTATGTGCATAATTTCCCAGCCGCTTCAATGAAGCCTTTTCCAGAATTGCCATTTGCTCACACCAGGACCGAGAAAAATATGTGTCCATACTTGAGCAACCTCGGTCTGGCCCTCGAATCAGAATCATGAAATGGTTTTGTTAAATGATAGTTGGTATTTGACTAACCAGTTCTTGTTAGAGGTTATTTTCACAATAAGATGAAGAATTACAAGTGTTTAACGAATGATTCTTCACTTGCATCAGATTTATGTGCCCTTTTATGCGGACTTTATATCAGTAGTATCTGTTTGCCGGTGCTAGCACATCACTGAGAGACTTTCTGCATGATTTACTCAAGTGGGGAAGAGAGGAGAAGAGTGGAAAAAAATGTGGGGTAGAGATCATTTCTTTGTTGTGGGAAGGATTTCTTGGGATTTCAGGAGACAAACTGATAATGAAACTGATTGGGGTAGCAAGTTTAGGTTCTTGCCTGAATCTATAACATGACAATGTTGTCGATTGAAGCGAGTTCTTGGAACAATGACTTTGCCATACCATATCCAACATGCTTCCATCCTTCATCAGAAGGTGAAATTATTCATGGCAAGACAAAATGCGAAGGCAAAAAAGGCGGTACTTGTTCTCGTTTGCTGGAGGTCCAAGCGATCTTCAAGGTTCCATAGGGGAAAGATTATAGACCAAGTCAGCTTCAGGAAGTTTATGTAAATTGATAGATATGTAATTATGGTGAAATGCAACAACCCTGTTAACGTGATGAAGGTGTTTCAAAGCTCAGTGTTCTGTTTGCAGCCTCAAGGGGATTCATACACCAGGAGATCAATTTTGATGCGATTTTGGTGGTTGATTCCAGTTTTTTTCCATCCGGGTACTGCTTATGCTCAATATTTATGGCATTTACCAAAGATTATAACAACATATCTTTGTATTGCCAGTGAGAGATGTTAAAGATTGGAAAATGATGATTATGAGACATTGCTTGGAGTTCCAGGGATGAGTGTTAGCATTAAGAGAGA